CAATCAACCTAATGTAAAGTCGATTGCCTGGCCACTGGAACATGGCTCTATCGGCCCGTATAGGACACAGCAAGACACAGGTTTCCTGCTGTGTCCTATCCTATTATGTGGCCATGAAACCAAAAGGGCATTTTAGTCTCCAGCTATTCTGTCTGATACAATGGGTGCAGTCCTTCTTCCCCAGTTATATGTTAATCCTTATCATCATTCATCTTCACTGTTTCTTGCACTGGTAAAACTGTGCTTTGTAAGGCCAGCAACCATCGAGCTTACTTTAGTCTTAATGGGGGCCCTGCAACACTTTTTGAGCATGGTCAGTGTAGAGGTTGCTACTATTGTTGGTGGTTTGTGCCGTTCCCTCCTAATGTGAAGAGTTAGGGCTAAGGAGAATAAAGGTAGTAGTTGTTTCGGTTCAGTAGGGACCGGCTGTCTTTCTTCAAGCTCCTCGACACTAAGGCTTTGCTTTGGTTAGCGTCCCTGGTAAACTGTTAACACTACTACATGGTGTCAAAAGTGGGATGGAGACCCTACGTCGTGCTTAGCCATTGTCCTTGCCAAGTCTATCGAGCAGTCCAGCTGGAAATGGGTGGGTGTCAATTTTCAGACGCCGGAGCCGGTGAGCACTGACATCAAACCTGGGATCTGGCTGAGATGGAGAAGCTGGTTTGAGGACTACTCTGCCATCTCAAGACTCAAGAATGCACCAGAAGAAACACAAGTGCGCTTCCTCTTATATTGCATGGCCCCTGAAGTGCGTCCGCTTCTCGATACATTCTCTCTCGATGCTGCGTCCATCACTTTCTACGAGACTGTTGTCAAGTTTTACCGAGCCCTTCATTCATCCTAGTAATGACCTCTATGAGTCATCGCATTTTCACAGACGCGTACAGCAGCGAGGCGAGAGTGTCAACATGTACTATGCGGAATTATGCAGGTTGATGAAACGCTGTGCCTATCCTTGAGTGCAAGTTGAAAAATGGCTAGTACATGATAGATACGTCGTCGGCTTGCGCAACTCGCGCCTTTCACACCAGCTATGCAGAAACGCTAAGCTAACTCTCAAAGAAGCTTGGATGCAAGTACGTCAGGCGGAAGACGCGGAAAAAGAAAAGCAGCAGTCGCAGGCTGGCAGCGCTTTGCGCATGGACGCTACAAAGACGCAGAAGTCTGCTCGCTATCACCGCAATGCGAAGACTTCTTTTGACGGTCACAATGCAGAGAAGCCCAGCTGCGGATTCTGTGGCCACGAGTCTCATTCTCGTACGCAATGCTGGCGTGGGAAGACATCCTCCCAGCGGCTCTTTGTCATTGAATCGCTCTCTGTCCCTCTTCTTTGACTCCCGGCTATACAGGCCCTCAATGTCTCGCAATTCCTTGGCAGGGTGGAAGCACCTGAAGCTTTACTTCACGCTGAACTGTTCCACGAACTTGGCACCCTCAAGGATGAATATCAAGTTTGCTTGAAGCCTGCTGCCACACCATTCTCACTCAGCGTTCCTCATCGCATTTACATCCCATTACATGAAACCGTGAGGCGTGAGCTGAACAAGCTTAATGTTGACGGAGTGATTCGCCACATCGACAGTCTAACGCCATGGTGTTCTGGACTGGTGGTGGTCCCTAAAGTGACAGGAAATTATCGTCTTTGTGTTGACTTAACCCGCCTACATCAAGTCGTACTTCGAGAACGCCACATCCTCGTTACGGTTTAACAGGTTTTCAGGCTTATTGGAGACGCAACGATGTTCTCCAAGCTGGACGCAACAGCAAGTTTACACCAAGTGAAACTCGCTGCGGAGTCGCAAGAGCTCACGACTTTTATAACCCCATTTGGCCGATACTGCTTCCGCCGCCTTCCGTTTGGCATTACCTCAGGGCCAGAGTACTTTCAAAAGCAGATGGCCAGAATTCTTGTAGGACAGAAAGGGGTAGCAAATATGATTGATGATATACTTGCCTTTGAACGCACTCGAGAGGAACATGATGTCCGACTGAACCAGGTTTTGTCTCGTCTTGCCGAAGCAGGGGTCATACTGAACTAGAGCAAATGCTTATTTGGTGTGTCGGAAGTACCATTCCTTGGAGTAACCCTGTCTGCACAAGGCATCAGGCCGAACTCAGGCAAGTTGCAGAGATCAAGATCATGGAAGCTCCAAAACACGTTGTAAGTGTGAGACATCTTCTCGGGATGATCACTCATCTGGCCAGGTTCTGCCACATATCTGTGAGATAACTGTTCCAATCCGAGCACTCCTCAACAAGTCTTAAGCTGGATTTTGCAGCATGAACAGGAGGCTGCATTTGTCAAGGTGAAAGAGATACGGACATCCGATAGGTGTATGGCGAAGTACAATCCATCGTATACCATGACTGTCAGCTGATGCGAGTTCGTTTGGACTTGGGGCTGTGTTGCTTCAGACACAGCCATCAGGCAAGTGCCATATTGTCGCTATTGCCTCGAGAGAAATGACGAAGACGGAGCAGAGATATAGCCAAACTGAAAAGGAAGTTTTGGATATAACACGGGCTCTTTGGAGGTTCGATGAATTCGTATGAGCTATCCCACTTGGTGTTGAGACAGATCACTTACCCCTTGTCTCTCTTTTTGGTAAGATGGAGCTCGACATACTGCCTCCAAGAATACAAAGACTGCGGATCAAAACAATGCCTTACCAATTCAAGGTACTACATGTGCCTGGTAAGCTCTTGGCTACAGCTGATACGCTCTCACGCATCAACGATCTGGATGAATCTCCCGTGCATGCGGTGCAGCTCCTTACCATAGAAACTGTGGCCGGCACAACCCTTGACGCAATGGAGCTCTATGTTGCAGATGCAGTGGCTGTCACATTCGAAGTTTTGCCACTAAACGTGCAGGAGGTACGTCGAGCACGAAGTTCAGATGGCGAATGCACTTCATTAATCTCTTTTTGTCAGCGGGGGTGGCCTCCAAACGGGGGGGGGGGCTCCAATCTCCAAGTATTCATCGGTGATTGATGAACTTTCTGTTTGCAACGGTGCACTGCTCAAAGGAGTCTGTTTGGTGATTCCATTGTCACTTCGACCTTGGCACTGCTACATGAGGAACATCAAGGCATTAACAAAAGCCAAGTCCTTGTACGTGATTCAGTATAGTGGCCTGGCATCTTTAATGACATTACCTCTGTGGTCGCTAACTGTGAAACATGCGCTGTCACTCAAGTCAACTTTGCTGAGCCACTTATACCAACACCTCTCCCGAATCGACCATGGCAACTTCTTGGCATGGACTTATTTTACTTCAATAGACAAACTTTCCTCCTGGTAGTCGATTACTACTAAAGGTACCCGAAAGTAAGAACCATGAGGAGCACAACCGCGCAAGCTGTCCTGGATGTGCTGAAGAGCATATTCGCCTGCCATGCGATACCAGAGGAGATTTGGTCTGACAATGGCCCACCATTCTCGTCACGAGATTTTGCAGTCTTCGCTTCCTCGTATGGCTTCGTCCATACGACAAGCAGTCCCCACTATGCCCAGTCTAATGGGGAAGTGGAGAGAATGATCCGGACGGTCAAAAACCTCTTCACCAAGGCGAAAGACCCCCACATGGCTCTTATATGCTACAAGTATACCCCAGGCATCAACAGTTTTAGCCCAGCTCAGCTCTTGATGGGTCATCGGCTTAAGACAAAAGTCTCCACGAAGGAAGAATTGCTACAGCCAAGTGTGCCATCGAAAGACAAAGTAGTCTTGAGAAACGCATCCTACCAAAGAAAGCAGGAGAGGAGCTACAATCAGCGCCATCGGGCCAGGCATCAATTGCTACTACCAGTAGGATAGCAAGTATGGGTGCGGCCAGAGAATGTAAAAGGACCTGTGTCAAGCCCAGCACAGAGACCCAGGAGCTACATAGTAGAAACAGGACAAGGCGGTATCTTGCAGTGCAACAGGTGTTACCTTGTCCCCTTTGTTTCAGCATCGCCGCCTCCCCAAGCTTCATCAGAAGAAACCAAGCCACAGCCACAAGTAGCTCACCGAACTTGAGGTCCTCCAAATGCTAGGGCAACGAGTGACTCGGCACGGATGGCTGTGTTGGTGGCGATAGTAATGATGGTGGTCGTGATGGTGTTGTGCACACGCGTAGTGGCCGACGAATTGTTTCATTGGACCACTTGAACTTGCGACTGCCCAATGTCCAAAAGGGGACGAGATGTAGAGGTCGCTACTATTGTGGTGGTTTGTGGCGCCCCCTTCTAGCGGTGAAGCGTTTGAACTAAGGAGAGTAAAGAGAGTTGTTAATCCGGTTCAGTGGGGACCGGCTGTCTTTCTTTGGGCTGCTCAGATGCTAAGGCTTTGCCTTAGTTAGCTTTCCCGGTGAACTGTTGACACTACAGTCAGAAAACACTGCGCATCGGTAGTAGAGACTCCCAAGAACATGCGAGCCAATTATTATAGCACAGCATGCGGCCTGGAATCCACAATAAATTCTCGAAGTCAGCTAAAAATTGCTTTCTCTTCTCTCGACAAATTTTAATTTCATTTTCATTTATTTACCTTAAAGACCCCAGAGGGGTGTAACATAAGGGGTGGTTATATAAACAAAATTACAGTTTGTCCACAAATAAATCTTGTCATTTCTTCGATGAAGACAGGTGAGGTGGTGATGGAAGCGATGTAGAAAAATGATGACGAGCAAGTGACAGTACAGGCACTTGGATGAGCAATGTTAAATGAATGGCCTGTGCGCAGTAAAATGCCCATAGGAGGCAGAATGTAAGGTACTTGGCAAAGTGAACTGTTATAGAATTTATGATATAATGATAAGCTTGCGATGTGACGGCAGTGTGCTAGTGTATCCAAACCAGAATCTCTTTTTAAAGACGAAACATTGATGTCATATGAGAAGGATGAATTAATATACCTTACGGCACGATTTTGAACGGATGCTATGGCGTCGCTGAGATATATGTGATGAGTGTATCGTGTGTGATCGTTGGGCCATCCTGACAGTCCGAGCGTAACGGGAAGAATGTCGTAAGTTTATTGTGCCATGCTTTATATACAGGTGGAACGGGCGAGGGCAAGCCAAAGATATCTTGACTGATCGCCACGTGTTGTACATGCAGTAGCGATATCATCCGATACATCCTCTTTCGTATGAGTAAACAAAAACAGAACAGTTAAATATTTTTCTAACGGGGAGTTACAGGGTTGAATAGTGCACAGAAGAAACATCGTTCATTGCACGCCACTGGGAAGCTCATCACGACACTTGCACAAAGTTTCTGTCGTAGGTCAACCGCTGTGGTGGCCGCCGCAGTCTTGTCGAACTTCTCGAAGTTGCGATGCCTGCCGTATTGGGTGCATGGAGAGCTGCGGGCCCACTACTGCAATTTGCAGTTTGTTCGGCGAAGTCCTCACTGCTGCTGGAACACGTGCGCCTTCGAAAGCTTTCACCGGTCGGAAGTAGGTGCTGGCGGTTGCGGCGGAGGACCCTTCCTTCCTCTGTGACGACATGGTATGACCTGGGAGTATTGCATGGCTCGAGGACTCGTGCTTTGGTCGACCATGACCCCCTTTTAACTCGAACGGTGTCGCCTGCTCCCAGCGGCGCTAGGGTCCTCCTGCAGGCGTTGCTCTGGCGATGCTTTCGGACCGGAAATTCTGGAACGGAACGGACATCCGGCAGCGTCGTTCGCAGTCGCCTTCCTTGTAACACCTCGGCAGGTGAAGGCGCACCCTCCATCGGTGTCGTCCTGTAAGCGAGTAATCCAAGCCAAAAGTCTTGTTTCGCGTCAGTAGTTTTCTTTAGTATTCTCTTAACGACCTGTACTCCTTTTTCTGCGAGGCCATTTGATTGTGGATACCTCGGGCTTGAAGTGACGTGTTTGAAATCGTACAGCTGAGAAAATGCAGCGAAGTCATGACTTGTGAACTGCGGCCCATTATCGGTACAAAGTTCAACTGGTATGCCATATCTGGCGAAGATGGCACTTGCTGCTTCTATGACAGTTCTCGAAGATGTGTCTTTGAGCAACTCCACCTCGGGAAAGTTGGAGAGCGCGTCATAAACACACAAGTATGTTCTACCGCCATATTCGAAAAGGTCCGCCCCTACACGGTACCAAGGCTGGGGTGGCGCCGGGCGCATCTTAAGAGGCTCTGTCGGCTGTTTATATGCGTATTTTCTGCATGGTGCACATTTATGGCAGATCGATTCGATATCTTGATTTATTCCAGGCCAAAAAACAAGCTGTCTTGCCCTTGATTTACATTTGTTGACACCTAAGTGACCTTGGTGAATGCGATCTAGCATTTCACGTCTCATAGAAGCCGGTATTACCACCTTACAGCCTTTCAAAAGTACACCGTTAACTTGAGATAGTTCTGCTTGAAATGGCCTCCATTGGCCCTTGATATCCTCTCCAGATTCTAGGTTTTTCAGAACGTCTTTAAGCTCTTCGTCCTTCTCTGTTTCTGCTGACAACCACTTCCATGTTCGGTCGCTCACTAATGAAGACATCACACTTACCGCGTGGACTTCTACATCGTCGCTGTCGGTGTCACCCGCTTGCCTGCTTGTGGCTCTCGAGAGCATGTCGGCCAGGACGAGCTGCTTCCCTGGAATGAATTGCAAGTCAAGGTCATAACGCAGCAAACGGAGGAAGAAACGCTGTAGCCTTGGCGGCATATCGCCTATTGGTTTCCGAGCAATGGTAATCAAGGGCCGATGATCGGTCTCTGCAATGACATTGCGGCCGTAGATAAAGTGATGAAATCTTTCGCAGCCGTACAGCAATGCTAACGTCTCTTTTTCAATTTGTGAATACCGTTGCTCAGTTTCGCTGAGCGCTCGTGACGCGTACGCGACCGGCTTCCACGCGTTATTGTGGTATTGCAGCAAAGCTGATCCAACCCCATTCCGTGATGCGTCGCACGACACTTTGGTTTTTCTCTGAGGATCAAAGATAGATAGCAAAGGTTCTTTGCTCAAACTGTCGCATAGCTGCTTCCATTCCTGATTGTGGTTATCTGTCCATTCGAAGATTCGGTCCTTTTTGATCAGGCCCCTCAGTAGTGTGGTTCTTTCAGCGAGTGACGGCAAGAATTTGCTGAAGTAGTTGGCAACGCCCAGCATTCGTTGCACCGCAAGCTTGTCAACTGGTGTGGGAATTTGTAGCATGCAATTTATCAAGGATGGGCTTGGTCTGATGCCGTTTTGTCAATCACGTCCCCGAGAAATTCTATCTTTTCGACCGCAAACGTGCACTTTTCTGGGTTGAATGTAAGGCCGGCGCGTTCAGCTGCTCGTAGCACCGACTTAAGACGCTCATTATGTTCTTCTATGGATGCACCCCAGATAAGGACGTCGTCCACGTACACTCTGACCCCAGGAAGTTCTTCAAAAATTTCATTCAGGGTCCTCTGGAAGACCTCTGAAGCAGATGCTATACCAAAGGGTAAGCGCAAAAACCGGTAGCGGCCGAATGGTGTTGCGAAGGTGCAAATTCGGGAGGTTTCGTCATCTAAAGGGATCTGGTGAAACCCCGAGTTTGCGTCCAGGCGTGAAAAAACTGTCGCGCCGGCGAGGTCTGCTTCTATATCTTCTCTGCGAGGCATTATGTAATGTTCTCTTTTTAGGCACTCATTTATGTTTCGTGGATCAATGCACACTCGGATTTTCCCGTCCTTCTTTCGAACAATAACGACAGGACTCACCCAGTCTGTAGGCTCGGTCACCTTCGTGATAATGCTGGCTCGTTGCATGCGGTCCAATTCCATCTTGAGGGGTTCTTGTAAGGCCACTGGAACACGCCGTGCGGCCTGGACGACGGGTATGGCGCCGTCACGTAACACCATCTTGTATGCTCGTTGCACGCACCCGGTTCCGGTGAACAGATGGCGAAATTCGTCAAAGATGCACTCATGGTTGCTTTTAGACACGCTGTAAACACGCGGCACAAGCCTCATGAGTTGGCATGCTTGAAGTCCGAGGATCGCTTGACGCCCCTTCCGCACGATGAAAAAATCCAGTACTGAGGTCGAGTCATTCAGTGTGACTTCGGTACGTATAACCCCGACGTGCTGAATTGCCCCTCCTCCATACGAACGTAACACCGCGCTACTTGGATTCAGCGGCGGTTGAGGGCGCATCTTGAGGTAGCAGCTCAAAGGCAGCAAATTTGCTTGTGCTCCCGTGTCGACTTTTAGGTTTACTGGCAGGTTCTTGATTTGAGCTCGCACCGTCCAGTCGCGTGGAATTTTGCCTAAATTTGACACGTCCAGAATGTCAAAGTTGTCTTCGGAGCTTCGGAGCTCGTGAACTTCCGTGGTTGTTTGCAGCATATGGCGAAATGGTTGCGCCTGTGGCACTTCCGGCACTTCATCCCGAACGCTGGACAGCTTCGTGGTGCATGCTTGCGCCCACATCTCAGACACTTAGAAAAGGCGGGTCCTGGCGAAAAAGTTTTGTCAATAGGAGCCACGCCTACCGGATCTACTTCTTTCAGTTCGCGTGCCCAAACTTCTTGGTGTCCCGCTGCTGCTTCTGCGGCTTTACCTGCCAGCTCGGCCTTTTGTAGTGTCAAATTGTTGTCCCTTAACAGCTTTTCTCGAAGGTTGCTGTCAGTAGTCCCGTAAACGATCTGGTCTCTGATCATCGACTCCTTAAGACTGCCAAAGTTGCACGATGCTGCCTGCGTTTTCAGATCCCTCACAAAATGTTCGAAGGGTTCTCCCGGCTTCTGGATCCTTGAGCGAAATACATAGCGTTCGTGCACTTCGTTACTCTGTCCGGCAAAATATGCATCGAACTTCTGCACGACTGTTTTGTAATCGCTGCTATCCTCCTCTTGCTGGTATTCGAACGTGTTAAAGATCTCAATGGCTTCCTCACCTGCGATACTTAGGAGGAGGGCAGTCTTTGTTGCTTCCTTTCGGGGTTTGCCACTGGTCTCCGACGCGGTCAAGAACAACTCGAAGCGCTGCTTGAAGCCCTGCCAGTTCTTGCTGATTTCCCCATTAGTACGTAGTGGGGGCGGTGGCTTCACAAAATCCATGTTGTACATGCTAGGCGCTAGCTTCGGTTAACTTCTGACACCATGTATCGTGTGTGATCGTTGGGCCATCCTGACAGTCCGAGCGTAACGGGAAGAATGTCGTAAGTTTATTGTGCCATGCTTTATATACAGGTGGAACGGGCGAGGGCAAGCCAAAGATATCTTGACTGATCGCCACGTGTTGTACATGCAGTAGCGATATCATCCGATACAATGAGGATTCCAAATGGGTGTTGCATATTTGGATTTGGGCCTAACCAATGTTTTATATGCGAGTAGTTTTATGAATTGAAGAGCACTGTGAAAGTAACGTTTGAGAAATCCTAAATGTTTGTTTGAAGATGATGGGGTGCTAGTTACATGAGAGGACCAGTTGAGATTATGAGTGATAGTAAAACCTCAATACTTGAATGAGACAACAATGCCAATGGGGGAGTTGTTAATTGTGAAAGGAAGGGTATGATGATTACGGCTGCGAGAAACTGACATAGATTTCTATTTATGAGGATTTAAGGCCATGAATTACACCTTACAGTACTTAACATTATATAGGCCATTCTGCAATCAGATGGGGTCGTTATCGTTAATGATAGCTGAATATGTTACACAATCATCAGCAAACATTTGAATGTTAGAGAATATGTGCAATGGTAGATCGCTTATGCACATTAAAAAAAAAAGAGACGGAAGAAGCTTAAATGATGGACGCTCAAAATTAACTCATCCCAGCCATTCTAATAGCCAATGGCTGATTTACACATGGCGCGCTCGATCGATTGCATTGAAAAAGCAGAGTATTCCAAGAAAAAAAAGAAATTGATTGATTTGTGCTGTTTAACGTCCCAAAACCACCATATGATTATGAGAGACGCCGTAGTGGAGGGCTCCGGAAATTTTGACCACCTGGGGCTTTTTAACGTGCACCCAAATCTGAGCAAACGGGCCTACAACATTTCTGCCTCCATCAGAAATGCAGCCGCCGGAGCCGGGATTCGATCCCGCAACCTACGGGTCAGCAGCCGAGTACCTTAGCCAATAGACCACCGCGGCGGGGCACACACACACAAAAAAAAGTGCTCAAAGTCATGAGGTGCATGCAACGTTTTTTTTTTTTTTGTTTTGTTTTCTGTGCCATCTTTCCCTTCTTAGCGTCCAACGCTTCGTCGGGGCAATAACAGGGAGAATGCGATCGCAGCGGACAACAAATCTTCGCAACTATGCTCATACTGACAGATTCTAAAAATTTTTGCAGCAGTAGATTCGTGAGGCATTGGGCTTTTTCAGAAAATCCATTCCATGGTTACTTGAAAAACTGTTGCAGAACCCCTTCAATTGTGATACATTGGGTATACACTGGGCACACTGGGTACTCTTTTTCTTCCACAGTTGCGTTTTAACCCTTTGTGTTTGTTGCTTTTTGCCATCTAAATGCACATTAACAAAACCATGTTCCATAAAAATATGCCCACTAAAGCCTTTCTTTGCCACTCTACCAGCAACCTCAGAATGATACTGTCTTTCATCATCTCATACCATCCTATACGTGCATGTTTTTTTGTTTGTTTTTTTCATTTCATCACACGAACTCAATCTCTACCCTACATTACAGTGCTTACCTTCCCTTGGATACACTCTGAAATGTGCAGCTCTGTGCATTATGGTATTCACTGAACTTTCATTTCCTTCATCCGGCGTTCCTTTCTACCAGGCTACATTTAGTGTGTATGCTCCGGTTGCGATGTAACAACATTAAAGCTAATACACCTAGCCTAAAGGGGCCCTGCCAAAACTTTTTTCGGATAGTCAGAAAATGCTGTCGATCAGCAGTCGAGGCTTCTGAGAAAACGCAAGCCAAACATTACCGTGCAGCACGCAGCCAGGCATTTAGAATAAATATTCAAAGCAAGAAACTTTTCTTTCAACAAATGATGCGAAATTTCACGGCCATTTCAGCATTGTGAGCAGCATAGTTACTCGCAATCACACTGAAAGTAAGCGGCACATTCGAAGAATAAATGAATACTCATGACGCAGCTTCTTTCCTCCGTGCCTTCCCTCCCTGCTTAGCTCATACCAGTGCACTCGTCGGGACAAGAAAAAGTAATCACAGCATCTAACTTTGCTTGTACTTGGTCCCAGTCGACTGCATCGTACTTCGGCAGCAGTCAACTTGTACGGAACTCCTTTAGTGAAGCCATTCCATAGTTGCTTGAACAAGCGTTACCTCACGCCTTCTTTAGGGGCGAAGCGGCTAAATCCATGTCCCGCTAGCTCGCTGTGGTACGTGTTCGCCTAGTTCGATGACTCACTCAACAGGTGCGGGCAGGCGATTCACGGTTTACCGATAAAACCCTCCGAAGCTTATTCACTGTGTAGATATTCTGTGAATTTTTTTGTGTACTTGCATGAGTCTGCATTGGTGTATTGGTCCTGACATTAGCGCACACACACACACACACACACACACACACAAAAAAAAACATTGAAAAGAATAAAACTGTGGCTCACAAACATCCTCCATTGTTGATTGCTGTACACTTGTTTATTTGCATACACAGCCGA